CCAGCCGGAATATACTTTGGTCGCAGAAGTCGTCTCCTCTTCTTCCTCTTCGGGGATGATGTAAGGAATATTTTATCTGGACCTCGAATTTTCTCGCATAATAATTCTATCTCTTTTCTCCTCTGTTGTTTCCTTTATTTCTTTTATGTTTCTCTTGCGCCTCTGTGCGCCTCACGCGTTTAACTTCAATTACAATCGTTTTTCTGTTACAGAATTCCGAGGTTCTGTTTTCCGTCGTGTTACCTCTAATAGACTGTTACCGTATATGTTACCAACGAGCAGTATGCATTTCCTACAACATTGCGCTTGCAGTTTCACCAACAGAAACGTGATAAGCAGTACAGCGGGAACAAAAGCAGTATTTACCAAGCTCTTGAGCACACCATCAGTATCATCCCGTGATTCGACTGTCATCCCTCGTCCAATCAAACTGGCCCATTGGAAGACGAATCCAAACTGAATCTGATAAAAAAGCAAGATGGCTATGTAAAAAAACTAAAAATTTTGATTTCAAGATTCAAATTAAAATTTTATTAACAGGTTTTCATAATAATGAGAAGGGTTACTTGAAAAAACCAGTACAAAGTAGTGAGGAACTACGTCACAAGGTCGGCCCTTTATCCTTTTCAAACACTTAGCCTACGCAGATTTACAGTCGCCTTGATTATTTTTTGCCGTAGGCATAGCTTGGGTGCGGAAAGAGAGGAAGGTGAAGTTCGCGAAGTGTCTCTCTGCGCTAAAATACCCAGCAACAGAGATACTCTTATCTAGATAGAGAAGATGAAGGCATTTCCATCAGCGGAATCATAATTTTATTCGTCTGAGCTTTCGAACTCTTGCGTTATTCCCAAGGCTACCACGCGCAGCCGAGTCATGAGGATAGATGACCGATTAAATTCCAGTGAGCCGTCAATGTCCAAACTGTCCCCAAAGTTACACAGGACAGACTGGACGCATGCTTGGCTCGTGCATACACAAACATAAGCTGGCTGTAAGACAGGGTGACGTATTATCGCGAGTGGCTGCCCACGCCTATGAAACGGCCCAGGAATTTAACTTCGCAGCCGCGAGGATAATTGCCCACGCCGGCAACAGGACACGACGAGAACTGATTTAAGTGTGGGCTTCGGCTGACGACTAAATCACGGCCGACACTAGTGATTACAGTGTTCTCTGCCCCCTCGTCCCCTATAACGGTAGATTGGCGCCTGCGCCCTATAATTTGTTGCTTGTTTTTCGTTGACGCTTTTATCAATGAAATGGACTCCCACAAGAGTTCGAAGGATCAGATGAATAAAATTATGATTCCGGTGATTGAGACGCCTTCGTTTTTTCTATCTTTACACAAACCTGGGATGCGAACATTTGCCTCACTACTCTTGTCTTCCCTGGAAATGAATGGCCTACATTAAATATGATAGAATACTAATGATTCCGCTTAGGCAACACTTTATAATCCGCCTCTGTCCCATTTCCCTCATTTTTAACCGTGGAAATAAGAAAGAACTGGAGTCACATTTATTCGAATAACCTATTATTTTTGAATACTAATTCCTATTGTTATGGATTGATGGAAAAGAAACCAAGAACTGTGTTGTATACCGAGAAAGTAGAAGCGATATTTTATTCGTTAAAATGGCCAATAAAACCGAAAAATGTGAATTAACAGCAACAACGGAACTGGAAACCTTCGACTCAGTAGAAACTGAATTGCATGGCTCGAGGCGCAGGTGTCTCAAAACAGATGCTCGGATAACCGAGATATCGAGGACTTTACTGAAACACACGAACGGTCTAAATCGACCAATGTTACCGGGAAAGATTTACCGAACTACCTTTCGACAACATAGTAACTGCTTTTTGGTATGCGTAAAACAGATGAAACAAGATTTGAATAAGCATATTATTTTCAATAATTAGTTTTGCTTCAAGCCTTTTAGGTTTAGAATCTTTGCAGTCTCCTAAATATACTTTTCAGTTTTTAGATTGATGGTAATGGTTTATGAGTGAACCAGCCTAATGGGAAATCCTGATTTCCACGAAGAAGTGAAATAGTATGCCCAACAAATATTCGCCGTTCAAGCGTGCTTCTGAGTACTACCCAGTATTGACGCAAACGGGCAGAAAAGATCTCGGTATAAAACTTGAGAACTCTGACACCATTGTGTCTGAATTTATATGCAAAAAGTGTTAGCAAAATGTTAGTCTAGTAAAAAATACAATTTTAGACTACTAAGCAAGTAGTCTTGGCGGGACTAACTGTGCCAGGATAGCTTGGCATAAAACGGCATTCGCTACTACTCACCAACTTTTTGCAGCCCGGCTCCAGCACAAATGTACAGGAGGGTTGGTGGAGCTGAGGCCATCGCGATCGCTCCAAGCAGATTATACGCACCTGACGGTTATTATTCAGCCGGGGCAGGCCATCCACCTGCGTGCCGTCCTCAAAGACGAAGAAGTTTGGCGCTCGGATGCTGGCCTGAATGCCCAACGCCATGGCGCCTCGGTTCACTAACTGGAGACCACGCGTACAGACCAGACTCTCGGCCAAATGCGGCCCTGCCACGGGACCGCTACCTGCTATCGTGGTGGTGGTGGCCATGTAGCCCCTTTTTTCGAGCCGGCTACGCGGCCCTCGCGCAATCTCCAGCGGGTA